GGGGGGGGGGGGGGGGGGGGGGGGGGGGGAGCCCTAATGGCTTCCAGGCCTCGGCAGCCGCCGAAAATCTGCCGCGAAGCTGAGCCAAAATCCCCCGAAATCGCCCCAAAAGCTTTCCTGGGCCTCCTCGCGAGGGGGGTTCCAAAGGGCTGGGACCCCCCGGCTCCCCCCCCGCCGGCCGCGGGGCTCGGGGGTCCCGATTTCCCCCTCGGCCGGTGAAACCGGGGCCCCCTAAACCTGGCCAGCGGGAGGGGGGCCCCATTTCGGGGCGGTTTCGCCCCAATTTGGGGATTCTGCGCTGCCCGCATTTGTCGGGTCCCGCTGCCCCCAGCCCCGAATTTCCTGGCCGGGGGGGGGGGTTGGGGTGGGGACACCTGTGTCCCCACCGCGGGGCTGGCAGGTGACACTCGTGCCTATCGCGACAGCTCGCAGCGCGCCAAAAGCCGTGTCGCGACATGCCGGGGAGTGTCGCGACCCGTGCGGGCACCGTCACATCGCCGTGTCCCCCCCCGCCACCCCCCGCCGGCTCCATCTGCAGCCGCAGCCGGTGACAGCGACACATCTGGCGCGGGGGGTCCCCGAGCAGCTGGTGGGGACGGGGGGGACACACGGGGGGGGCTCGGCAGCCCCCGAGCGCCGCCCGGACGCGAGGATTTGGGTCCCCTCTGTCCCCGGTGTCCTGTCCCCGGTGTCCTGTGCCCGGTGTCCCCTCCCGGTGCTGGCGGGGCGGGGGTTTTGTCCCCCTGTGTCCCCCGCCATGGGTGGGGGGGGGGACACATCTGTGCCACCCACGGGGGGCTGGGACACCCCCAGGGACACTCCTGGGGTCCCCTCCTCTTGTCCCCAAAGCCGCGTCCCCCTCGTGCCACCCCGCGGGGCTGGGGGCGGTGGAGGCTCCGGCAGCGAAGGGGTGACAGTGGCGGTGGTGGCGGTGCCAGCGCTGGCACCGGGTGGTGACAGATGGCGGAGGGACGCGGCCGCAGCCGGAATGACAGATGAGGCTCCGCCGTCACCGCCGCTGCCATCGCCACTGTCACTGTCACTGTCACTGCCATCGCCGTGTCACTGTCACCGCCAGTGTCACCCGCACCGCCGTGGCACTGTCACCACCACTGCCATCACCGTGTCACTGCCATCGCCGTGTCACTGCCGGTGTCACCCGCACTGGCACTGTCACTGTCACTGCCATCACCGTGTCACTGCCGGTGTCACCCGCACCGCCATGGCACTGTCACTGCCATCGCCGTGTCACTGCCGGTGTCACCCGCACCACCATGGCACTGTCACTGCCATCACCGTGTCAGTGCCATCGCTGTGCCACTGTCACCGCCAGTGTCATTGTCACCACCACTGCCATAGCCGTGTCACCGCCAGTGTCACCCGCACCGCCATGGCACTGTCACTGTCCCCACCCCACGGCACTGTCCCTGTGGCTCTCATTGTCACTGTCACTGTCACCACACAGCCACCGGCGCTGGCCCTGGACCTGTCGTTGTCTGGGCACTGCCACTGTCACTGGCGCTGCCACCGCGGCCACCGCCGCTGTCACTGTCACCTGTGGGGACCTTCAGCGCCTGTGGGGTCACAGCGCTGCTGGGAGAGGGGTGCAGAGAGGGTGGCGGCCACCCCACGTCCCCTCTGTGTCCCTCGTGTCCCCCCTGTGTCCCTCGTGTCCCCCCTCGTGTCCCCCATGTCCTCCTGTGGGTCCCTCTGTGTCCCTCGTGTCCCCGATTGTCCCCTCACCTCCCCCCGTGTCCCCAAGTGTCCCCAAGTGTCCCCAAGTGTCCCCTGGCGTCCCCCCCCCAGCTCCATCCCGACATGGGCGTGGCTTGTGCCACCACGGGCGTGTCCCCTGGAGGAATGGGCGGTGCCAACCCCGCACTGGGCGTGTCCTCGTCCACGTGGGGCGTGTCCCCCCGAGTGGGCGTGGCCTCTCCCCCCCGGTGGGCGTGGCCGGCGCGCGCTTCCCGCGGCAAAAGTGCGGCGGGCGCCAACTTCGGGCAAAACTTTCCCCGCGCGCCGCCGGCACCGGGACCCCCGGGACCCCCCGGCACCCCCCGGAGCCCCCCGCCATGCCCCGCCGCGGCTGACACCGCCGCCATGTACTCCCCGTATTGCCTCACCCAGGTACGGCCGCACCGCGGGGGCCGGGACCGGGACCGGGAGGCGCCCGGTAACGGCGGGGGGGGGGGGTTGGACCGGTGCCCTTTGCGGCTCGCCGCGATCGGCTGCTGCACCCACCCCCCCAAAATAAAATAAATGGGGTGTAATGGGTGGGGTGGCGACCCCTCCGCTGTGGCCGCGGCTGCGGGGACCGAGATCGGGCCGGTCCGGTCCGGCCGTCCCGGAGCGGGAGCTCCCGGTTCTGCCTCGATGCGGGGCGGATCCGAGCCCCGGGACCCCCGGCCCGGTGCCTCGGGGACCCCTCGGGGGGCGCGGGGGGTTCGGTGCGGGACCCTGGGGACGGGACCGCCGCTTCCACCGGGGGGGTTTCGCGCCCCCGGCACCGCCGGGACGGGCGGGACCCCGGTCCCGGTGCGGGGTTGTGGCTCCGGGATCCCTCAGAGCGCGGCCGGGAGGTTCCGGGGGGCGACTTCGGGGGCTGGACACGGGCGAAACCCCGCGGGGCCACCAAGTCCGGGGGGCGCCTCATTCTGGGGGGGGGGGCTTTGGGGTCGGGGGGGCTCCGTGAGTCCCTTTTTGGGGGGGGGGACGCGCGGGGAGGAGCAACCCCGTGCGCTTCTCGGGGAGGGCACAACTCGGGGGCTGTGGCACGGGGGTCCCTTTAGGGGTCCCATCCCCCCCGCGCTGTCCCGGGTCACCCTCTGTGTCTCCCCCCAGCTCGATTTGCGGGGCGTTGCTGTCGCCCCCCGTCCCCCCCCCCGTCCCCCCTCCGGCTTTGCCCTTTTCTCCCGCTTTTCGGGGCGGTTTTGGCGGCCGGTTGCGTCTGGGCCGGCGGCCAGCGGCGCTTCTCGCAGCTTCGGCGCCCGCCCCGCACACGCGTGTGCACGCGCCAGGGACACGCCAGCACCACGCTCGTGTGCCCCCCCCCCAAAAAATTTACCACCCCCCAAACCCCCCACCCCACACACACCCCGCGGCCTCCCTCGTGCCTGGCACACGCGTGTGCGCGCTCCCCTCGTGCCGCCCTTTTTTTTTTTCCCCCCTCCGCAGCCGTTTCGGGGCGGTTTTGGGTCGGTGCCACCGGTGGATTTTGGGCGCTGGGGTTGTTACCGGGAGCGGCCGGAGCGGGAGGTGTCACGGCCCGCAAGGGACAAGCGGGCACGGGTTGGGTTTGGTGTCCTCCCGGTGTCCTCCCGGTGTCCTCCCGGTGTCCCCTGGTGTCCCCTGGCAGCGGATTTGGCCTCCGTGGTGAAACCTCAGGCTCTGGTTGTCGGTGCCACGGCTGCTGGCTGGGCCAGGATCCTCTGCATCCCCTCCGTGTCCCCTCCCTTGTCCCCCTCTGCATCCCTGAGGGTCCCCCCGTGTCCCCTCCCCGCCACACTGAGCCACCCCCTGCCCATCCCCGGGGTCGCTGGCACCATCCCGGTGTCACCGTTGCTGTCACCACCCGGCCCGTGGTGGCCCCGGTGGCCACGGGGGGTGATGGATGGCCAAGCGGGTCACACGGTGCAGGGCTGGCAGGAGCCGTGCGTGGCGCAGGTGTGAACACACATGAAAAGGTACAGGTGTGACACGGGTGTGTGATGGGGCACAGGTGTGACAGGGGTGACGGGGCGCAGGTGTGACGAGGACAGCGGCATCACCCGCGCGTGGCGAGTGCCAGGCGTGAACGAGGTGGCCCCCGCGCCGTGGCTGATGCAATCGGGGCAGGGGGAGCCACCACCACCCCCCCCTTGGCCTCCGTGTGGGGGTGACACGCGTGGGGGACACACCGAGGAGGGGGGGGGACACACACGCGTGTGACACACCTGGGCACGCGTGGCTTTGCGTGTCGCGCTGCCGCAGCCCCGTGTGACCGTGCTGGGCTGAGCCCCCTCCCCGTGTCCCCCCCCACCGTGTCCCCCCGTCGCCGGCGGCATCAATAATGGAGGAGCCCTTGGCCGGGCCGGGGGGGCCCTGAATTATTGATGGGCCACAAAAAGCTTTCTTGGACGCCGCAAGCACCGCGGGGCCCCCCCGGCCCGGGGCTGGCACGAGGCCACCGGGGCTGGGGGGGTGGGGGGGGGGCGAGGGGTCCGCGCTGGGGAGGGAGCGGGGCCGGGCTGTGTGGGGAGGGGGCGGGGGGGATGCGGGGAACGCCGCGGTCCGGCGGTGCCAAACGGCACCGATCGGCCACGGAACCAGCCGGGACCACCCCCAGCCCCCCCTCCGGGATGTCGGGGTCCCGGTTCGGAGCGTGGGGAGCGGGGGGTGGCGAATGCCCCGGGTTCCCCTCGAGCCGCCCGGAGCGCCTGGATGCTCCACGTGGCTGCGGGCAGGGCCGGGCGGGCGCTTCCTCTGCGCGCCCCCCCCCTTCCCAAAATACCACAGCTCCCCCTCCAGCGCCAGACACCCCTGCCCGTGCCACGGTGCCCCCCAAAACGCCCGGGTCTCCCCTTTCCAGCCGCCTGGTCCCCTGCCAGAACCA